TAGGTAGGATAGATCGAGATAGAGATAGAGATAGAGATCGAGATAGAGATAGAGATAGAGATAGATAGAAAGATAGATAGAAAGATAGATAGATAGAAAGATAGATAGAAAGATAGATAGAAAGATAGAGAGATAGAGAGATAGAGAGATAGAGAGAGATAGAGATAGATAGAGGTAGATATAGATATAGATATAGATGTAGAGATAGAGATAGATAGAGATAGATAGATAGATAGATAGAGATAGAGATAGAGATAGAGATAGAGATAGAGATAGATATGTATATGTACATGTATATGCATATGCATATGTATATGTATACCCCGTAAATATACAGCCTCTGCAAGTCCAACTATTTGTTTGGGTAGGCATTGCTTACCTGGAGCGGCAAGTTCCTGACAACCTTGATCGGGACATGTCGTAAGCATCGCTTGCTATAAACAGGAAGGGGTGGCAGGGCTGGATTTTGAAGGGCTTTACTCCCGCCCCCAAAAAAAAGTAACGACAAAAAAAGGCCACGATAAAAAATGAAAATCCGAATCGTGAATTTGCGGGTTCGTTCTTTTCTTGTTTTGCTGCAATTTGTAGTATGCATACTGTGCTGAAACCATGTCCACTCGCAACTGCACCATTTTTTTGGTCGGAATCATTTATTTTGTTGGAGTATGGTAGGTTTTTGTCGTGGAAAATTCAATTTTTGTCCTGGTTAGGGCGGCGTCGCGGCATTGGAGCGCTCACTGGAGCGCTCACAGCCACAAACGGAGTGGCCTGCCTGGGAGCCCATGTTTGGCCTGGTCCCAGACACGTTTGCGTTTTGACAAAAACAAGATTTAGAACCCTGTGTCTTGATGGTTGCAAGACTTGTTGAATATCTCGGAAAATGCCCCGAAAAAAGTGTGGACAGCCGAGGCATGATAATTGCTGTAGGATGTAAGCAACATCCCAGATGATAACATCAACTTCAACGGGGGCGATGTCAGTACTGTTCGGCATGGATCCACTTGGTACAGCGCACATCATGGACAAATTTTGGTCTCTCTAGCCAATCGTTGCCACAGCAGCTGCTAAGCATTGAAAACCACCCTCCTTCGGATGGCCACATGAATGGTGCTTTTCAAATGTCATGGCAAGAACTGCCGGGCCTATTGTTTGTGTGGGTATCCAACCCCACGACGAGTTTGATTCCAGCATCCCTGCAATTGCAGCTGTTGGGAACACAGCTGGAACTTGCCATTTGCGTATGTGATGCCGTGATGCCACCGGAGGTCCATGTCACAGTGTTACCAAACCCCCCAAAATAGGTGGAAGAGACGTTCCAGTTGCGCATCAAGAACCACTGCCGTTTGCGCTGGCAAATAGCAGCCTGCATGCCTTCAGCGAGCCGGAAAATTTTGCTTGCCAGCTTGGCCACCTGTCGGCGGTTCAATTTGGGGGAAAAATGCTTTGCATACCATGGTTGAGGCTTCAAGTTGTCCCGAATTGAACCAACTGGGGACCTTGGATGCAATGCGGGTCCCGAATCCATGGCTTTGGTTTTTAAGTTGCCTGCATTCTTTTTCGGTGTGTTGTTTGTTCAGCTTTCCATTGTTTAATATTTCAGCTCAAACAATGTATGCTAAGGTCGGACATCTACCATATGGATATATATGGATATTTTTAGAAGAGGCAGTAGCCATGCGAGTTCTCGCCAATGATAGTGGCACGTATCTTGAAACAAGGTTAGATAATTGGGATAAAGTCCTATTGCGAAACTGTCTTGGATTGCGAAACTAATATTGCGAAACTAGTCGTTCGTACTCCGCAACTATTTGGTTGTATTGCGCAACTATTCTTGCGCAACTAGGATTGTGCAACTAGTATTTCGGAATACTAATGGGTCGTATTTCGCAACTACTGGGTCGTATTTCGCAACTCTTTTTGCGCAACTCGTATTTGGAAACTACCGTCTTTAACTTTCCGCAGCCAATTACTAGTCTGGTAACATTGGATCAAGCTGCGCACTTACGTGATGCCACGCTCGACATGGGGTGGGGTGGGGTGGGATAACGTTGGATCAAGCTGCGCACTTACTCGATGCCACGCTTGAGATGGGGTGGGGTGGGGGGTATTTCTTGAGCTGCTGCATGCGCTCTACACCAACACCGAGATGCCTCTTTGCTCGCGCGTGACTATGAGCCGACTCGTGAAATCTTGGGAGAGGTAAAAAGACAGAATCCTCCGTGCGCACACTGGGCTGGTGATCTGGTGGACTGGGAGCCTTGGGGGTTTAAAAATACAAGTTTCAGAAAAAAGGCCGAGTTTCGAAATACAGCTGGTCATTTGCAAAATACAACTGTTTAGTTTCAAAATGCAACCGTTTAGTTTCAAAATAATACGTTGCACTACATCATTGATACCCAAATACACGATGCAATTTGTGTCGCTAGGTCATATCTCCAGATTTGTGCCGCCAAACATGAGATTTGACACCATCCCAAATCTTGAATTTCTGACCTGGTTGTCCGAAAAAAGGAGGATGCACCGAAATTACCATAGAAGAGAGCATGACGAACATGAGGTTCGAAAACAGCGAGTTTTGGAGGTAGATGGGGCCCCCAACCACGATTTAATTATTTTCATTGCACTATGACTTGACTTTCATGTACAGCGAATTAATCTTATAACCATACTGTGTTTTTTAATTAACACCTTGGCCACGATTTATTGTTTTCTATATGTTTGTTTAGTTTATCACATCACATAGAAAATGCCTTCAGCATTTATTTATTGTATTGTAGGAATGTTCCTGAGCATCTCTCCTTGCTAGGTTTGTGATCTTTTCTAGTGCTAGGTCTGTGGTTCCGGGTTTGTGATTCTTTCTAGTAGTAGGTTTGTGATTCTTTTTAGTACTAAGTTTGTGATTCTTTCTAGTTGTATGTTAAGGACGAAAGTTTTGTGCTAAGGACGAAAGTTTTGTGTTAAGGACGAACAAAAGTTGTGTTAAGGACGAAAAATATGTGTTAAAATTCCCTAAAATTCGAACGTCTTGTACTTAACACAAAACTTTCATCCTTAACACAACTTTCGTCCTTAACACAACTCTTGTCCTTAACACACACCATTCGTCCTTAACACAAAACCTTCGTCCTTAGCACAAATTTGTTGTCCTTAAAATTCCTTAAATAATTCCTTAAAATTCCAAAATTTCGTCCTTAACACAAAAATTTCGTCCTTTGCACAAAACTTTTGTCCTTGAATTTCTTTTCAAATTCCTACAATTCCTCACAATTCCTTCAAATTCTTTAAAAACCTTTGAAATTCCGTAAAAATCTTCAAAATTCCTTACAATTCCACCCGTTAAAATTCCTCAGAAATCCTTTGAATTCCTTCAATTTTCCTTCAAATTCTATAAATTTCCTTTAAATTCTTTCAATTTTTGGATAATTCCTTAAAACTCCATTGCCTCCTTAAAATTGCTAAACACCCCATTGCTTAGAAACTTTTCGAAAAAACAAAGTACCAAAAAAATACAAATGGAATGCCACATCATCGACTCATAATTCATAACATAATCCCTTTTCCGAACTAGAAGCGCTAATATGCACATAGTTTAACTTCAAACGAACCAAATGAAACCCAAAAAAACTTTACAAGAGAGATTTGGTTAATATACTTGCTGCCTGAACAAACCAAATCGTGGTTTGAAACTGGCATTTATTTTCGTGGTTGAACCGTTTCCAAGCGTGGTTGGTTCGGAACAATAGGTTTAAATCGTGGTGTCGTACCCGTCTCGTTTTTTGAGGGAGGGTATGCTGCTGCAGTTCCAAACAAGAGCAGATATTTGGCTGAGTCAGCCATGTTTCTTCGTTTTGATGGCTTTGTCCATGCTGCCAGTTCTCATAGTTTTCAGAGCCACAGGGTTGGGCAAACCCGTTTATAGAGATCCAGTTAGTTACTGCCCTTCTGCAACGCACATTTGTTTCCAGGAATATCCTACAGAGAAACCATAGTTGTCACTAGGCAAAACATCCAGGTACCAGGGATGACCTGGATCATATTTTGCACTGGTTTCATATATGCATATGTTATGTTAATGATGCACAAATGCAGTGCATCTATCTCTCTCTCTCTCTATATATATATATACACACACACATATATATATATGTATACCTACATACAAGTAAAGTCCGCACAAGACGCCAGCAAAGCATTGAATGTGTGATGTTTGGACAATATGCAAGATTATTTAATGACATCGGTCCCTTGGGCAGAGAAGTTTGCAGACACCGGTCCTGATGTTGAATCACACAGTCTTCCTTGACGTCGTTCGATGCTCAGCATCTTGGCTCGAGGGACTTTCTCGCCACGCCATGCTGCGCCGCATAAACATCGCCTTGCTGGCACTGCAATGGACCGTGTCAGCTGCTCAGTCATCGCAGTGGTGGCTTCAACTGATGTGAACGGGCGATCGACAAACTGATAAAACAAATGAGAATGCAGATTGCACATGGCAAGATGTGCATCAATGAATCATTGGCAACCAATCAAATGAAAGGTGGATGTGGTTGCAAGATGTGCATGTGAGCATGTTGACGTGACGACCTTGCACACATGCCTGTGTGGAATCGTACAAACCTTTCATGTGCACAGCAGTCATGGCGATGATGTTTCACTCTTGCTTTCACGAAGACTTGTACCCCACATTTCACTTCGGCTGGCAAGTGGGATCAAGTGGGTAGATGATGGAATGTAGCTAACTGGCACGCAAAAACACGCTGTACCCAGTCCTCAGCGGCCTTGCTGAATTCTGCACAGTCAAAGATCATTGTGAGAACGAATGCCAGCTGACTAGTGGGCGACTGATCGAGCATCACATGGTCCTGTTCCAATCCCCATGCTGATTTGTGATAACATCCCCAAGAAATCATATTTGTTCAACAAAACTGGGGGTTGATATCGACCAAAAGATACCACTTTTTCAAGGTTGGACACTCAGATCAGATGCGTTTGGACGCCAGGTGCATGGCTGGGGACAAGGAGGAGGCCAGGGCCCATGTTTAAACAGGGACGCATTGTGTGTCACAATCGTGTTGAGAAACAGATAGAAACAATCACACCAATCACTGAGATTCACTGAATATTCAGGTCTTTTTGAACAATCTGTGGAAGTGCGAAGAAGCAACAGCCAAGAAGATAATGCATTTGGACTGAAGTCTACTCTAATACTTATATAGTGTTGTATGCTGCAAGAAAACCATGCACCATCATGCACCCCACGAACAGTTTGAAGGCAACCAGGTATCCTCATGAAGCTTATCGCCTTGTAAAGATGTGGGGCCATGTTGGAAGACCACTGCGAAGCACGACCCTGTATCCCTTTGGAAAGGGAGAACTCAAGTCAGTTTTCATATGTTTTCGTAGGTTTTGCTTTTCTTAATTTCATATTCATATTTGATGACCGAAGTTTGCACGAGATCGTGAATGAACAACTTGCCACCAATCTCAATGACCCTTCCACAAAAGCATGCGTTTTCTTTGACATGCGAAATTGCTGATCTGCATCCGGAACTCATTCAATGACTTTTCCAATTTTCGAAGGCTTTACATTGGGCTTGGTGAGGCTGAATGAAAGATCATGTGGCATGGTTTAGTAGCTTAGTGATTGGGCTTGGTTCTAGTCATTCTAGTCATCGGTTCCCAGCTCGCTGATCACCCTGTAGAATCAGCCGCACATGGGTGAAACTAGGAAGCATGTGTATCCTGTGCGTTGGTTAGTCGTCCATCGCTCTTGATGCATGTAAGGCACACGAAGATGACACACATGTCCGCCCCATTGTCGCCATGTGACCCACCTGTTGGAAAGGGTATTTAGACAGGATTTCCAAGGTCGGAAATGGATGCAATAAACGTGGAATTTCAACACCTTTATGTGATAATTGGTTTGAACCAGCAGCACATGATCCCTTGATCAAAACCTTTGTAAATTTGCCGTATCTCTTTAGAGCTATTCGATTTTAGTCCCAGTCCCTGAATGCAAGCCAGAAGTGGAACAACAGTTCAAGAGACTAGATGTGTCGGACAGGTTTCGCTTTTGGTTGGCTGCTGTGGCCGGCAGAACCAGACATGCATGCACAGACGCAAAGGGGAAATTGTCAATTTCAGCCAGGAAGCTAAGCCCATGGCAATTTGCGTACTGAGTATGTTCTGAATAGATAGATTCGTACTATTTCTTACTGGTATAATATGGTATTTAACATTACTTGAAGTGTTTTGCAACATCGAAAGATGTCTTTAGAGTCTTGCGGTGGAAGGATCAGCTCTCGGCTGCTTTCCCTTCGGCAACTGAGCCGCCAGGCCGGGACATGGCAGCACGTGACTGCCAGCAACCCGCCCGCCGAGCGGGTCACCCGCTCGTCTGTGGTCATTGATGCGCAGCAGCGCATCTGGATTTTCGGTGGTTTCCGGTATAGAGGCCGCTATCAAGGTCGCGGCCCCAGGGTCAAAGCATTGCATGCTGTGGGATGAAAATTCTTTCGAGTTCGACGTCTGGGAGGAAGAACGAGACAGTAGATCAACACCTTTGTGATTTGTGCGATGTGATCCTCAGGATACAGAGACATATTTAATTGCCAGCGGCAAGCCCGCCGGCCATAGCCATTTGGTGCATAGAGACATTTTATATGAGCCTTCGGCGTAGTCGCAGACCGTGGCCTGGACAAAAAAATTACTTTATTTCGTGTGATCCCCACCATGACATTTATACATTTTCTTACTGGCAAATCTTCTGGCATTCTATCTGACATATCTTCTGACATTCTATTTGGCATATCTTCTGTCATATCTTCTGGCATTCTATCTGGCATATCTTCTGGCATTCTATCTGGCATATCTTCTGGCATATATTCTGGCATTCTATCTGACATATCTTCTGGCATATTTTCTGGCATTCTATCTGGCATATCTTCTGGCATATCTTCTGACATATCTTCTGGCATTCTATCTGCCATTCTATCTGGCATATCTTCTGGCATATCTTCTGGCATTCTATCTGGCAAATCTTCTGGCACTCTATCTGGCATATCTTCTGGCATTCTATCTGACATATCTTCTGGCATATATTCTGACATATCTTCTGGCATATCTTCTGGCATTCTATCTGGCATATCTTCTGGCATATCTTCTGGCATTCTATCTGGCAAATCTTCTGGCATTCTATCTGGCATATCTTCTGGCATTTATCTGACATATCTTCTGGCATTCTATTCTATCTGGCATATCTTCTGGCATATATTCTGACATATCTTCTGGCATTCTATCTGACATATCTTCTGGCATATATTCTGGCATATCTTCTGGCATATATTCTGGCATAATAATCTTCGGACTTCTTTCTGGCATATTACGAAAACCAGCTAGCTGGCTAGTTGCTGTTTGCGAACGAAGTGAGAATAGGGGGTGTGGGGGGGGGTGGTTGCCGAAAGGGAACGAAATCTCGCCGTGCCCCTGTGTTGAGCGCCAGAAAACGGAGCATTTTGCTGGATTATGTACCACTAGGCAATTTGCTGACGGTGGGGTATCGATTCCCCCTAGGTCCGCCTTTTTGGTGGCCGGAGAGACCATGAGGATGTATTGGAAAATACAATGAAACTGCAGGAGAACATGATAACGATCAGAGGAAATCGTACAAAATCCCCTGGAAAACGGACGAAAACGGAGCGAATGCGAGGAACAAACCATGGAAAATCCCTTGGAAAATGGAGGAAACCGGAGCGAATGCTGGGCGCAAACCATGACGATGCAGTAAACATGCTGGAAAAATACAGTGAAAGTGCAGGAAAATGCGATAACAACCAGAGGAAATGGTGCAAAAACGATCGGAAAATGAAGGAGATGGGTAAAACTCTTGGAAAAATACATTGAAAATGCAGCAAACCAGAGGAAATGGTGCAAAAAGGAGACGGGTAAAAATCTTGGAAAAATAGATTAAAAATGCATGAATAGACTGAAAACCCACGAAGAGGATATAGATGATATAGAAACTGCAGGAAAACATGATAACAATCAGAGGAAATCGTGCAAAATCCACTGGAAAATGCTGGAAAAATACAGTGAAGGAAAATGTGATAACAACCTGGCAGGAAAATGTGATAACAACCAGAGTAAAGGGTGCAAAATCTGTTGGAACATGGAGGAAACCGGAGCGACTGCTAGGAACAAACGACGATGCAGTAAACATGCTGGAAAAATACAGTGAAAGTGCAGGAAAATGCGATAACAACCAGAGGAAATGGTGCAAAAACGATTGGAAACTGAAGGAGACGGGTAAAACTCTTGGAAAAATATATTGAAAATGCATGAAATGCAGGAAACGAGAGGAAATGGTACAAAAAGCCATAGAGGAAAGCGGTGAAAATGGTAGGAAGCATGTAATAAAAAAAGCTGGACAAAACACAGTGAAAACCTACAAAAGAGAAGAAAGTAACCACAGGAAACGGTAGAAGAAACAGTGGAAACTGGAAGAAAAGTTGTGACAATATTAGGAAAACGGTGTGCAAGCTAGGAAATGCTTGTAACAACTAGAGGAAACGATGTAGAAAACAGTACAACATGGAGGACACGCGTGAACATGCTAGGAGGCATGTAACATGTTAGAAAAATACAGTGAAAACAAAGGAAAATGTTATATCTAAAAATGCTTAAAAATATATAGTGAAAACCAAGACAATGTTAACGAGCGGAAACGATGGAAAGACCAGTGGCGCGCAGGATTTTCTGCGAAAACGACATTAAAAAAGAGGAAAAGTGTTGGAAATTGGTGGACAAAAATATAGCAATTTACAGACCTGCTTCCCCCCCCGGGTTTCGAAAGTAGTGGCAGAAGTGTTGAGAACGCTAGGAAAATGTATTGCGACGAGTGCAAGTGGAGAACGTTAAAAGCTAGAGGGTTGGAGAAGTGGAGTGATCATGGTACCGAATGAAAGTAAGAGATGTGTTGGAGAGCAGCAGATCGGATGACTGTACCTCCGTTTGATTGGTGGGACGTCTTTCCAAGGTGTGAAAGAACTGATAGATCAAATGGATAAAACATATTCAAACCCCACGAAGAGGATGTATTGGAAAATACAATGAAACTTGAGGAAAGCATGATAACGATCAGAGGAAAATGCTAGAAACAAACCATGCAAAATCTGTTGGAGCATGGAGGAAACCGGAGTGACTGCTAGGAACAAACTATGACGATGCAGTAAACATGTTGGAAAAAGACAGTGAAAGTGCAGGAAAATGCGATAACAACCAGAGGAAATGGTGCAAAAACGATCGGAAAATGAAGAAGACGGGTAAAACTCTTGGAAAAATTCATTGAAAATGCAGCAAACCAGAGGAAATGGTGCAAAAAGGAGACGGGTAATAATCTTGGAAAAATAGATTAAAAATGCATGAATAGACTGAAAACCCACGAAGAGGATATAGAAACTGCAGGAAAACATGATAACAATCAGAGGAAACCGTGCAAAGGAACATGTGATAACAACCTGGCAGGAAAATGTGATAACAACCAGAATAAAGTGTGCAAAATCTGTTGGAACATGGAGGAAACCGGAGCGACTGCTAGGAACAAACCAGGACGATGCAGTAAACATGCTGGAAAAATACTGTGAAAGTGCAGGAAAATGCGATAACAACCAGAGGAAATGGTGCAAAAACGATTGGAAACTGAAGGAGACGGGTAAAACTCTTGGAAAAATATATTGAAAATGCATGAAGTGCAGGAAACGAGAGGAAATGGTACAAAAAGCCATAGAGGAAAGCGGTGAAAATGGTAGGAAGCATGTAATAAAAAAAGCTGGACAAAACACAGTGAAAACCTACAAAAGAGAAGAACGTAACCACAGGAAACGGTAGAAGAAACAGTGGAAACTGGAAGAAAAGTTGTGACAATATTAGGAAAACGGTGTACAAGCTAGGAAATGCTTGTAACAACTAGAGGAAACGATGAGGAAAACAGTACAACATGGAGGGCACGCGTGAACATGCTAGGAGGCATGTAACATGTTAGAAAAATACAGTGAAAACCTAGGAAAATGTTATAACTAAAAATGCTTTAAAAAATTACGAAAGCCAGCTAGCTGGCTAGTTGCTGTTTGCGAACGAAGTGAGAATAGAGGGTGTGGGGGGTGGTTGCCGAAAGGGAACGAAATCTCGCCGTGCCCCTGTGTTGAGCATTTTGCTGGATTATGTATCACTAGGTAATTTGCTGACGGTGGGGTATCGATTCCCCCTAGGTCCGCCTTTTTGGTGGCCGGAGAGGCCATGAGGATGTATTGGAAAATACAATGAAACTGCAGGAGAACATGATAACGATCAGAGGAAATCGTACAAAATCCCCTGGAAAACGGACGAAAACGGAGCGAATGCTAGGAACAAACCATGGAAAATCCCTTGGAACATGGAGGAAACCGGAGCGAATGCTAGGCGCAAACCATGACGATGCAGTAAGCATGCTGGAAAAAGACAGTGAAAGTGCAGGAAAATGCGATAACAACCGATCGGAAAATGAAGGAGACGGGTAAAACTCTTGGAAAAATACATTGAAAATGCAGCAAACCAGAGGAAATGGTGCAAAAAGGAGACGGGTAAAAATCTTGGAAAAATAGATTAAAATGCATGAATAGACTGAAAACCCACGAAGAGGATATAGATGATATAGAAACTGCAGGAAAACATGATAACAATCAGAGGAAATCGTGCAAAATCCACTGGAAAATGCTGGAAAGATACAGTGAAGGAAAATGTGATAACAACCTGGCAGGAAAATCTGATAACAACCAGAATAAAGGGTGCAAAATCTGTTGGAACATGGAGGAAACCGGTGCGACTGCTAGGAACAAACTATGACGATGCAGTAAACATGCTGGAAAAATACAGTGAAAGTGCAGGAAAATGCGATAACAACCAGAGGAAATGGTGCAAAAACGATCGGAAACTGAAGGAGACGGGTAAAAGTCTTGGAAAAATACATTGAAAATGCATGAAATGCAGGAAACCAGAGGAAATGGTACAAAAAGCCATAGAGGAAAGCGGTGAAAATGGTAGGAAGCATGTAATAAAAAAAGCTGGACAAAACACAGTGAAAACCTACAAAAGAGAAGAAAGTAACCACAGGAAACGGTAGAAAAAGCAGTGGAAACTGGAAGAAAAGTTGTGACAATATTAGGAAAACGGTGTACAAGCTAGGAAATGCTTGTAACAACTAGAGGAAACGATGTAGAAAACAGTACAGCATGGAGGACACGCGTGAACATGCTAGGAGGCATGTAACATGTTAGAAAAATACAGTGAAAACCTAGGAAAATGTTATAACTAAAAAATGCTTTAAAAACTATAGTGAAAACCAAGACAATGTCAACGAGCGGAAACGTTGAGCAGGAAATCCGATTTGGTTTCTGTAGATAATGTTAGATGATGAGCAATGTAGTTTGGTGATAGGAAATAGTGGCTGACTCGCGTACAAGACATTGCCATGAAACCTTGGAGCAAGATGCGGGTGGTATAGGAAAAAAGATGTATGAGTTGTAAGATTTTAGGAGTTGCATGGGAAAATTGGTTTCATGGTAATCTGTGTGAAGTTAGAAAAGTGTGATTTCGTTCACAGAGTAAGAAAAATAAATACAATCTGCAGATTAGAGTATTTATAATGCTTAAAACTGTTTGACGTTTTTTGGTGCCTCCCTGATTCTGGTAGTTTTGTGATAAGAACTACAAAAACGATCTACTGGTAAACGGAAGGAATAGTCTTTCCGGTTTAGAACTGAGTCGACTGTCAAGTGATGCATAGGCTCCAGGCCTCTGGTTATTGTCACAAAGCATTGGAATGAAGATTGCGCCCAGGAGCCACCTAGGTTAGGAGACAAATGCTGTAATATCATTGTAAGAGGCCGTACTGAGAAGGCTGAAACGGAACTAAAAGTGAATCTTGTACTAAAACATCGAGAAAGAATTTGAATCTTCTAATGGCAATGACGGGAATGATATGCATCTGTACGTCCGTGATAGTATGTGTGCCTTTTAAAAGGGATGTTTGGCGAGTGTGATAGCTGAGAAGATTTTCCGGGATGCCAAACAATTATCTCTATCGATGTCAGGGATGATGCTATTCTGCGACATTTCCTGTAAAATACCTATTTTCCAGACCCTTGGGGGGTGGGGGGGGGGACCCAGGTCTGTAAATGGCCTAAATATATATACTTTTGATTTGGACTGCATGTTCGCCACTGTTCTATATTTCCCGTGGGTTTTGCATTGTTTTCCTCGATTTTCATTCGTTCTTATACCCTTTCTTACGTATGTTATAATATTGTCTTGGGTTTGCACTGCCCATTTTGCGAGTAGAGCTATGTTTTGATTTCTCACCGTACGGCCAAAATGTTGCGGAACTTCGCGGAGAAGCATGGACCACGATTCTGGGGAGAAAACAATTTAGACTTTGAGAGGTCACATGACCACTGTTCACACAAAAAAATAGGTGGGAGCAAACTTGCGCTGTTTTAAGATAAATGAGCAACCAAAGGCGGATTTACGGAACTTGAGATAGAACTTTTCACAATGCCGCAGTACATTGTAGGAAACATATTTGGATATAGAAGTTACAAAATCGTGGAGTTTACCCTAAAAAGGCCCATTTAATGATTGGAAAATTATGACCCGATAGCAATTGTTGATGTTGTGGCGCTTCACGTTTGAGCCATGCCATATGGATGAGGTGGAGTTTCACGCGCCCCCGCGCGAGTCAAAAAGCAAGCGCTGGCTTTCGTTCCACCCCTTCTCAGGTCTTCTGACATTCTGTCTGGCATATCTTCTGACATTCTTTCTGACATTCTTTCTGGCATTCTATCTGGATCTATCTGGCATATCTTCTGGCATATTATCTGGCAAATCTTCTGGGATTCTATCTGGCATATTTTGTGGCATTCTAATTCTATCTGACATTTTATCTGGCATTCTATTTGGCATACCTTCTGGCATTCTATCTGACATTTTTTCTGGCATTCTATCTGCCATTCTATCTGGCATATCTTCTGACATTCTATCTGGCATATCTTCTGGCATTCTATCTGACATATCTTCTGGCATTCTATCTGGCATTCTATCTGGCATATCTTCTGACATTCTATCTGGCATATCTTCTGACATTCTTTCTGGCATATCTTCTGACATTCTGTCAGGCATATCTTCTGACATTCTTTCTGACATTCTTTCTGGCATTCTATCTGGATCTATCTGGCATATCTTCTGGCAAATCTTCTGGGATTCTATCTGGCATATTTTGTGGCATTCTATCTGACTTTTATCTGGCATTCTATTTGGCATACCTTCTGGCATTCTATCTGACATTTTATCTGGCATTCTATTTGGCATTCTATCTGGCATATTCTGGCATTCTATCTGGCATATCTCATGGCATTTTATCTGGCATATCTTCTGGCATTCTCTTTGTCCCATATCTTCCTACATGAGGTCGGCAGGGAACACTTGGCGTGGATACTCGCGGTTGAGGTCCGGCAGGAAACACTGGGCGTGGATGGTCGTGGTTGAGGTCCGGCAGGGAACACTGGGCGGGGATACCCGCGGTTGAGGTCCGGCAGGGAACACTGGGCGGGGATGGTCGTGGTTGAGGTCCGGCAGGGAACACTGGGCGTGGATGGTCGTGGTTGAGGTCCGGCAGAGAACATTGTAGATCGCGGATCGCAGTTGGACAAGGACGACGAGGAGGACGAGGAGGAGGAGGAGGAGAGGACGAGGAGGAGGAGGCGGAGGAGGAGGACGAGGCAGGAGGAGAAGGCAACTGACATAAAATCTAACAACCCTCACCTGGCAGGTGGGGAAAAAAAAGGCCAGTGTGTGTGTAAAAGCCTCTGTGCGTCAAAGCTGCGGTGTGTAAAAGCTTCTGTGTGAAAAAGCATCTGTGCGTCAAAGCTGCGGTGTGTAAAAGCTTCTCTGTGTAAAAGCATCTGTGCGTCAAAGCTGCGGTGTGTAAAAGCTTCTGTGTGTAAAAGCATCTGTGCGTCAAAGCTGCGGTGTGTAAAAGCTTCTGTGTGTAAAAGCATATGTGCGTCAAAGCTGCGGTGTGTAAAAGCTTCTGTGTGTAAAAGCATATGTGCATCAAAGCTGCGGTGTGTAAAAGCTTCTGTGTGTAAAAGCATATGTGCGTCAAAGCTGCGGTGTGTAAAAGCTTCTGTGTGTAAAAGCATCTGTGCGTCAAAGCTGCGGTGTGTAAAAAGAAGTAAAGGCGAAAAAGGGGTGAGGGGGACAAAAAATAATCCGGGTGGGGTAATAATAGAGTCGGGGGATGACAGGGGGTCTTTGGCTTCAAACGCGGTGTGTAAAAGCTTCTGTGTGTAAAAGCGTCTGTGTTTAAAAGCTTCTGTGTGTGTAAGCGTCTGTGCGTCAAAAGTGCGGTGTGTAAAAGCTTCTGTGTGTAAAAGCTTCTGTCCGTATAAGCGTCTGTGTGTAAAAGCTTCTGTGTGTAAAAGCGTCTGTGTGGAAAAGCGTCTGTGTGTAAAAGCGTCTGTGTGTAAAAGCGTCTGCGTGTAAAGGGTTCTGTGTGTAAAAGGTTCTGTGTGTAGAAGTGTCTGTGAGTAAAAGCTTCTGTGTGTAAAAGCTTCTGTGTGTAAAAGCCTCTGTGTGTAAAAGGTTCTGTGTGTAAAAGCTTCTGTGTGTAAAAGCGCCTGTGTGCAAAAGCGCCTGTGTGTAAAAGTGTCTGCGTGTAAAAGCTTTTGTGTGTAAATGCGTTTGTGTGTCAAAGGTTCTGTGTGTAAGAGCCTCTGTGTGTAAAAGCTGCTGTGAAAAACTGCTGCCTGTAATGTGTGTCAAAGGTTCTGTGTGTAAAAGCTTCTGTGTGTAAAAGCTTCTGTGTGTAGAAGCCTCTGTGTGTAAAAGCTGCTGTGTGTAAAAGCTTCTGTGTGTAAAAGCTTCTGTGTGTAAAAGCATCTGTGCGTCAAAGCTGCGGTGTGTAAAAGCTTCTGTGTGTAAGAGCATCTGTGCGTCAAAGCTTCTGTGTGTAAAAGCCTCTGTGTGTAAAAGCGTCTGTGTTTAAAAGCGTCTGGGTGTAAAAGGTTCGGTGTGTAAAAGTGTCTGTGTGTAAAAGCCTCTGTGTGTAAAGCCTCTGTGTGTAAAAGCTTCCTCTTTGGAAAAGCTTCTGTGTAAAAGCTTCTGCGTGTAAAAGCTGTTGTGTGTCAAAGGTTCTGTGTGTCAAAGGTTCTGTGTGTAAAAGCGTCTATGTGTAAAAGCTACTGCGTGTAAAAGCTGTTGTGTGTGTGTAAATGCTTTTGTGTGTAAAAGCTTCTGTGTGGAAAAGCTTCTGTGTGTAAAAGCTTCTGCGTGTAAAAGCTGTTGTGTGTCAAAGGTTCTGTGTGTCAAAGGTTCTGTGTGTAAAAGCTTCTATGTGTAAAAGCTGCTGCGTGTAAAAGCTGTTGTGTGTGTAAAAGCTTTTGTGTGTAAAAGCTTCTGTGTGTGAAAGCTTCTGGGTGGGAAAAACACTAGAAATCCTTCACTCTGCTTGGGGAGAGCTTTTTGGACGGAAGCCGGGAACGCCTCTGTGTGTAAAAGCTTCTGTGTGTAAAAGCTTCTGTGTGCAAAAGCTTCTGTGTGTAAAAGCGTCTGTGTGTAAACGCGTCTGTGAGTAAAAGCTTTGGTGTGTAAATGCTTCCGTGTGTAAAAGCTTCTGTGTGTAAACTTCTGACGAGTCGAAGTCCGAGTAGGCATCGGAGGAGGCGTAGGAGTGGGAGTAGGAGTGGGAGTAGGAGTGGTAGTAGTACGAGTGGCAGTAGTGGCAGTAGTAGTGGTGGTGGTGGTGGTGGTGGTCGTCGTCGTAGTAGTAGTAGTAGGGTGGAGGGTGGAGAGGGGGAGGGGGGGGTGACTTTGATTCAGACGAAGCAAAAACGCGCGGGAAGAGAACAAAGGAACAAGTACAAGCCAAGAACAGAAACATTGAAACACGTACAAAACAAGAACAGAAACAAGAACAACACCTCATAATCAGACACGCCGGCAGGCCGGCGGATTCTTGAATGATTTGCATGTCTTCAACTTGTGGGAAAAAGAATCAGTCAGAGAATCACCAGCATCTTCAGGAGTCGATAAAGGGATGGCCTTCTTCAATGATCTGCACTACTTTGACACCCAGGTTTGGGAGTAGCTGTAGCCGTGGCTGATTTTTCAGCATGCATGTCACGGATATATCCTGCTATTACTTCATGCTTTTTACTTGATGTGTCCTTCGCTTACATCCCTTTTAAATTCGAAATTCTGTCAGCAAATTAAGCATTGCATTGACCCATTGACTTCGTTATATGGTAGGCAAGTGTCAAGATGCTCGACCAGATTTAGATTATGTTGCTGCAATTTGTTGATTTTACATAAGTTTTGTTATTTTAGAGATGTTGTCACTTTGAACACCCAATGTTGCGACCTTTGGTTAAGATATAACGCATTTTCGGTACAATAATGTATTCGCAAGTGAAAAACATTTTTCCCTACATTGACGTGTGGGGTTTTTGTTTTTAGTTCTGTATCCGCGCCTCCTCCTTCCCATCCTTCCCGTCCTTCCCGTCCTTCCCGTCCTTCCCGTCCTTCCCGTCCTTCCCGTCCTTCACACTCCCACTCCCACTCCCACTCCCACTCCCACTCCCACTCCCACTCCCACTCCCACTCCCACTCCCACTCCCACTCCCACTCCCACTCACACTCACACTCACACTCACACTCACACTCACACTCACACTCACACTCACACTCACACTCACTCACTCACTCACTCACCTCACACACTCACTCACTCACTCACTCACTCACTCACTCACACTCACTCACTCACTCACTCACTCACACTCACTCACTCACTCACTCACTCACTCACACTCTCTCACACACTCTCTCACACACTCTCTCACACACTCTCTCACTCACACTCTCTCACTCACACTCTGTCACTCACACTCACTCACTCACCCACTCACTCACCCACTCACTCACTCACACTCACTCACCCACTCACTCACTCACTCACTCACTCTCACTCACTCACTCACTCACTCACTCACTCACTCACTCACTCTTTTGCGTGGCAGGCGTGGGACAACGTGCACTGCCAAGGGGTCGGATGTACGCCCTGGCGTCCCTCGGGCTCCGCGTCTTTTGCGTGGCAGGCGTGGGACAATGTGCACTGCCAAGGGGTCGGATGTACGCCCTGGCGTCCCTCGGGCTCCGCGTCTTTTGCGTGGCAGGCGTGGGACAATGTGAGCAGCCAAGAGGTCGGATGTACGCCCTGGTGCCCTCGGGCTCCGCGTCTTTTGCGTGGCAGGCGTGGGACAATGTGCACTGCCAAGGGGTCGGATGTACGCCCTGGCGTCCCTCGGGCTCCGCGTCTTTTGCGTGGCAGGTGTGGGACAATGTCCCGCTTTTGCGTGGCAGGCGTGGCACAATGTGCACTGCCAAGGGGTCGGATGTACGCCCTGGCGTCCCTTGGGCTCCGCCTCTTTTGCGTGGCAGGCGTGGACAATGTGCACTGCCAAGGGGTCGGATGTACGCCCTGGCGTCCCTCGGGCTCCGCGTCTTTTGCGTGGCAGGCGTGGGACAATGTGAGCAGCCAAGGGGTGGGATGTACGCCCGCCATGGCGTCCCTCGGGCTCCGCGTCTTTTGCGTGGCAGGAGTGGGACAATGTGCACTCACTCACTCACTCACTCACTCACACACTCACTCATGTGCATTTTGCGTGGCAGGCGTGGGACAATGTGCACTGCCAAGGGGTCGGATGTCGCCCTGGCGTCCCTCGGGCTCCGCGTCTTTTGCGTGGCAGGCGTGGGACAATGTGCACTGCCAAGGGGTCGGATGTACGCCCTGGCGTCCCTCGGGCTCCGCCTCTTTTGGGTGGCAGGCGTGGGACAATGTGCACTGCCAAGGGGTCGGATGTACGCCCTGGCGTCCCTCGGGCTCCGCCTCTTTTGCGTGGCAGGCGTGGGACAATGTGCACTG